TCATCGGACATGCTCTGAGCAGTCACAGTATTGTTTTCAAGTCTGTAAGTGTATTGCTTTTTCCGCTTTTAGAATATGCTATATTTATGCAAATAGAAAATATTCAAAAGGAATGCGCAGGATGGACGGAGCTTCTGAGACGGATCGGGTGGTGAGGGTTGCGGAATCAAAAAATAGTGGGCCTCGGCAGATGGCCGCTCACACTGAGCCTGGTTCTGCTGGAGGTTTCTTCCTGTTCAAAGGGAGTTTTTCCTCTCCACTGTCACTACAAGCATGCTTAGTGTGAGGGATTGCTGAAGAGTCAATGAGTTGATGCAATCAGCTGGTTTTCCTTAGATAGAAAATTTGACTGGATGATCTGGTTGAACTGGAAAGTGCCTTGAGATGACATGTGTTGTGAATTTGGCGCTATATAAATAAACTGAATTGAATTGAAAAAATATCTTCTGCTTATGTTTAGCTAGCATGAGATGGTCGGTAAAGATAAAAACGCTCCTTTGGAATAATTACTAAGAATGTTCTTCCTGTTTGTGTTTTTCAGCAACTGAATCATCCAAATGTAATCAAGTATCTGGACTCCTTTATTGAAGACAACGAGCTGAACATTGTGTTGGAGCTGGCAGATGCTGGAGATCTTTCCCAAATGATAAAGGTCAGGCGCCTCAACCAAGAGCTCGCTTTGGTTAGGTCAGATGGAAAATTTAAAACCTTAAAAATGTTTAGACACCACTAAAAAAACAAAAGGAACACTTTGAACGAGGGTTAGAACACATTGAAAGACTAATCATGCTGGATATCCAAACTGAAATGGAATGGCTAACATGTTGGCAGCATTAGGAGGACACATGGTTGAAGATAGACTTAACCTGAAAAACTGCTGCAGGCTGGTCCACATGGCGGGCAGGTCCTTCAGCAGCTCTCCAAGGTCCTGACTGGTTGGTCTGCAGAGGAAGACCTCCTAGGGACAAGGGCGTCAGGAGGTTGCATCACATCACTGAGCTCCTGGACAGTTTGAGTTGCAACCTGGTGGTATCAGATAGACCTGAACATGATGATCCAGAGATGTCTAATCGGATTAGATCACTGAGGTCATTTAGTGCACCTGCTGATATAAATATGACCATCTAACAGCTGAAAACACTCCTACTCAGTATTCTGCCTATTTAACCAATGACATAAATACATTTAGACTTGTGTATTCATGACTGGCATTAATATGGACCTCTTACACCTTCTAACATTTAAATGAAATAAACATGGCATATTTTCAGTGTTGTGGAACCTTAACTGTCATGATTGGTTTAAGCGATCTGATCCACATGCAGAGAACCACTCAGAGACCAAAGGAAAAACAGGTTTATTAAATGTAGATGAATAACAGAAGTTGGATCTGGAACTCTGTGGACTGGTGAATTGGAATTGGAAAGTCTGAAGGGGAGATCACAGTGATCAGTTCAGGGATCGTAGGGAATTTGACTGAGGCTTGAATATTACTGAAGAGGAACTCAAGTTTGAAGGGGCTCTTATTTATCCCTGAATCCAGCTTGTGGGGGTTAATCTAGAGAAGAGACAGATAGACAAACGTTGGACCCAGAGGAGTAAAGGAGTGGACTGTCACTTGGATTTCCGATGAGGACTTGAACGGACAATGTGGAGGTTTTCCCCTGCTCAGTGTGTACTCACTTAATCCTTCCAGGGGGAGAAGGTCCAGGTATCTAGTTACTCAGGAAGGCTTCCTGCTGAAGAGCAAAGACAAAAACTTGATATGTCTCAGAGAAACAAAGCTTAGGTTAGATTCTGCTAATCTCAGCTTGGCTAGAGTACCCAAAACTGGCAAACACTCTGGCATCAAGGTAGTGACAGCCCACTGCTCAAATACTCCTCCAGTAATAGTCCAACGAGACGGAGGTGTGCAGGGAGGCCCAACGAGGACATGGCACCACCTGGTGGTGGAGAGAGAAAACACACAAACAACCAACACAAACTGGATTCCTAACATTAACAAGATAAAGTCTAACATGAACGTCCACCAAAAGATGATAAATGGCTCCTCATCAGTGGACGAGTAGCGTATTTGCATCATTGTGTAACATTTGCAGTCTAATCTGCAATACATCTGTTGTGCAATTTTACCCAAAGATTATGAAAATATTAAATAACTAGAACTGGGAGGTATAGTTAATTAATAGGTCATTGAAATCATGCGTAAAGCCAATAAATGTTATTTAATATTATTGAAACAATTCGAACTGTAATCTGCTTACTCACCAGGGTTTAGTCCTTTACATAAAGGCCGGAGTCCTGGACTGTTAAGATCCAGTTGCCTTTGCCAATTAAGTAATTTGGATTATGGCTATCAGCAGAGTTATTAATCACCGACCAAATAAACTGTCTCTGTTCATTCAAATGTTCACCAAAAGGAGGGTAGATCTGACCTGAGTGACAAATCGTTCACTACATAAAATAACTAAAAAAGACCAAAGGTTAAAATACAATGATGCCTTTAATAACTATTAATCCCTATCACTGGATTATTTTATCTAATAACTGTGTAAATACTAAACTCTACTGAAAATAAGCACAACTAAATAAAAGCAGACAAAAAAGGATTTTAAGAGTCCGTTCAAGAGTTTTTGAAGAATGTTGAAGTTTTAAGGCTTAATGCATTAAAAGTTTCCTTTAAAATACCAGCAGATAAATGTGAATAACTAATGTAGAGATTTTAAATGCAATCAATCAGTGAAAATGACCAAAAGACTCAGGAATGCATTAAAATATAGTAACGCTGTAAAGAATGGGTTAATTCAGCTGGTACCAGGCGGTCCGGTTCAGGGGCAGGCCAGCTAGAACAAAATAGCGATTAGAGGACTCAGAAAAGGCTGCTACCATAGGGAGCTAGCAATAACAAGCTATTATTATTATCTTGGAGCTAACAATGCTATCAAATCCAACCGTAGTAGCCTAACTCTTGAACTAAATGCAAATGAGGAATAAAGTAGACAGTAACACGCAGCATGGATCATTCAGCCAGGCTCAGTTAGCGTTAGCATTCAGTTCAGAACTCTGACTGAAAAACCATCAGCAGTTGAACCAGAAGGTTCTTCCAAATAAAACACAAACAACACGTCTAAAATGAACTTTTCTGCCTAGCTCTCGCCCAAGCAGAGTATCTGCTAAGCATCAGATGAAAGAGGGGGAAGGTGCTGGCTCAGTGGAATGGAGGAGGTGGGCTTTGGTTTCGTTCTGGAGTCTGATTTGGGTTGGTTTGTTCTGGTTAGTCCTGGAGAAGAAGTCTGTCTAGATTAAGCTTGGGAACACGGTCTGTCTGTCCAACAGCGAGCACTCAAAGAGACGAGGAAACTTTGTAGGGCTTCATTTGGTCCTCTTAGCACGGCGCCCTCTAAAGGGGCGATAGAATGATTCTATAGGGTATCTGGTCCTTCTGGTCTCTAATAGGGTGATAGAATGATTCTATA